GGACTTTGGTTGACCTTTTTCCCTCATTCTATGCATGTCAGGTAATAACGTCCACTCATTGGATGTTAATATGTTCTTTTCATTTCCAAGAGGGAACCATTGCGATGAGTATGTATTCACAACATACTGCATCGAATATACAGGATCAACCCATTGCCAATAATCTCTACTGACTAATGCACAAGCAACTATGACATGAGAGCATGGAAACTGATACGATTGAAACTTTCCGCATTGGCAATATTGATTGGATAATATCACAGCAAACTTATTACCACCTCGTTACGTGATAGGGTTAAATGTCTCTTCTACTTCAAACCTTGTTCTTTCAATGTCATATCGTCAAACTTGATGTGAAGACACTTCCTCTTGATTTTTTGCCATTTGTTGCATTAATTTATGACAAAATCTATTACCATTATTCAGTTCTCTTGTTGCTTCTTCACCACGCTTAACAAAATATTCAACTAAACGCGAATACGTACATTTTACCAGTGCTGCTATTGGCAAATTCCTTGCTCCTTTAAAAATTTTGTTAACTGCCTCTGATAAATTTGTTGTCATATGTCCATAACGCCTTCCTTGATCGTCGTTGGCCAAACTCCACTTTTCTTTGGAGATACAGTCAATCCAGCTTTTTATATCCTCTGACTGATTACGAAATCGTTGCAATTTGTCTTCAAATTTGTCTTTGTAAGCTATGTATGCTATTAAAACAAATGACATAAAAGTAATCGTCAAAATAATATTCTTTCCACTTAACTCTATGTAAATTAAAACAACACAATACGTACCTAATTTTATCAGCTCTTTCTTCAAAATAGGATTCTTGAATCGTTGATTAAAATTGCTTACTATATGACGAATGCAATACACATGATATGCATTGTAGGTTGCCATCCAATATGTGGATTAGAAACTGCACCTTTTATACTTTGATGTCTATTAGATATTAAAGAGATACCTGCCTTATCTGTAACATGAAGACGAATGAGAGCCAAAAACCATTCCTATGTTGACAAAGTTTCCCCTTCCACAATTGCAAATGCAATTAGAAGCACACAGTTATTTCCATCTTGAGTGGTAGCTATCAATAAAGTTTGTCGGTATTTACCATACAAGAATGTATCATCAACTTGTATTAAAGGCTTGCAAAAATTGAAAGCACTTATGCATTGTCTGAATGACCAAAATAACCGATGGAATACTTTGTATCTATTGTCAACTTGGTGACCCCTCATATAGTCACTGGTTTCAATCTTATAAACAGACCCAGGAGCATGTAATTGCATGTATTCTAACCATCTAGGCAATGTCGCATATGATTCATCCCAATCACCAAAAACCCTTACTATAGCTTTTTGTTTTGCCTTCCATGCTTTCTTGTAAGAAACTTGATAACCAAATTGACCATTAATTATTTCTTGAATTAATGTGATTGGCACCGTTGATTGTTCTTTTACCATACCTACAACATTTAAGAATATGAAATTTAGTAATGTTCTTCAATAAATTTAACAATCTTCAAATAAATATCTATAATTACTTTAGTAAAACTTACCAAGAACATAAGAGCTAATGAAGTTTGAATCAAGTTTTTTGTGGTCTAGAGACATCATTAGATTAACACATGTATGTGTTCCACCACATCTTGTGATTTTTCACTTGTCGTACTTTTTGCCCAATGTTGCTCTAACTCTCCAAAGGGCATCCACTTGTATGATTTGGACACTTTATATATAATTTTGTTGGTTTTGATTCCACCACAAAGTAACTTTGATGCGCCTTCATTGCAAAGTGTTTAATAGCCATTTTTACATCATCTTTAGAGTCAAACACTTGGCCAACATACAATGCATCACCCTCCTTCCATGCTTCATCTACATGAATATCTAAATTTTTCAATTCTTAATCAGCATGTTCCCAATTAATATAAGTATAATTTTGACTTGAATTCCAAAAAGGAGTTTCAATCACGCCTGCATTAAAACGAAACGCAACAATTGTGCATTTTTATGACTATTTAATATGGAATTAAATTCACCCTCCACGTTAGTATCAGATGAACTATCTGTTGAGAAATCCCATTCATTTTTGTTGTCATCACCTTCTTCATACTCATTTTCACTTTCTACATAACCATCAAAATTGTTATAACATAAAGATAAGTTATAAGAAATTTAATATTATAAACCCTAAACCAAAAATATTACTATACCTAATCCAAAATGAGGTTCATCATCTTCACTTGTAATGTCATGTAAAAATGAAATATTTAAGTCCACACCTTTTGACCGAATACAAGAACTTTCACCTGACGCAATATCTGCATATACTTCAATTGCACTTCTCTGATTTTGTTGTGAAAAGGCACTTAACGTACAATCAATATCTTCATCATCACATATATCTATCATCGTGTATTGTCTACCAATTGGGTCTACTAAAAATCATGAAATCAATCTAGATAAAACATGATTAGTAGACAACTTCAATTTTTTATGAATCTTTCCTTTCAATGTCTCAAAACAAATTCCATGTTCAATTTTAATCATTTTATTATTTCTTTCAAAAGTAACACCCTCATTACTTGAGAATATTCGACCATTCCAATATACTATTATTACAAAATCAGTCATCCTGCATTAACAAAATAAATCCACAAACAACAATCTTGATCAGTCAAAATAAATAATTTTTTCTAAATTATTTACATTTTGCATCATACATACTGCATCAACTATAATCACAAATATTTGCCTATTTACGTAACCAAACTTATTTTATTAAAAATTCACATATGCAACACCAAATAGATTTTATTAAATAATATTGCATTAATATATAAAATTTTTCTACAATTTTTTAACACAATAAAATTAGTATAATTATATTTGAATATCATCATAAATTAAACATTAAATTGTTTAAATTTTTTGCATAAAAAACAACGTAACCTATTACAAATAGGTTATAATGAATTTTATTAAACATAACTTTTATATGCCTAATTTTATTTTATAAAGATTATAAATTTTTACTCAAATCAAGCATATTTTTTTATATCAATTTAATTTCAAAATAATTTTATTACTTCTGTTAAATTATTTTCCATCATTTTTACATTTCTTCTCATAGTTTTTTAATTATTTTCAATAATTTATACAAATTTTTAAATTACTAATACATAATAAAATACTACAAACATATTAAAATCAAATATCATAACAGTTTATATACATTATTTTATCTGATATATATATATATATATATATATATATATATATATATTTCTATCACACTATTCAAGTTTATTTTAACTACTAAATAAAAGAAAAAAATTTCCATAACAAATACAAATTATAAAATTTTATCTAAACAAAAAAAATCTAAATTCAATAAATAAAATAACATGCATACTGGAAAAACTCAAGTTACCTGGGTTCACTAAAATTTTTGCTTCACGAACGTAAGGCTTTTTTTAGGAACATCAAGCTTTGTGTTCTTTCAGCATACAACGCAAATGTGTGAAGAGTGCAAAACGTAAACCTTTTTTTCTTCCTTCAGATTGACGCAAATGACAGTGCAAAATGTTAAGATTTTTCTTTCTTCCGCAAATGTTAGGCAAACGTGAAGACTGCAGTTATACCGCTAGATTTTTTTTTTTCAATGCATCAACCAGTGTATGTGGACACGTGGCCGGTGTCCACTTGTAGCGCGCTTTGCAAGGCGATAAAGCTGACGCAGCTGGACCACCGATTGAGCTATTGTTCAAGACCAACCGATACTGCCTAGGCAGTTGACGCGTGTCAAGCACACATCTATATTGCTGCTTCATCGTCGATAGAGTTAATGCATTTTGACTAACGACTTGTCTATCGATTATTTTTTAACGATACACCTCTACATTCGACATGTGTAGCAAGTATCGATTGGATATCACCGATAGTATATTAAAAAATTAAAAAAATAGGCTATCGTTTATGCAGATGCGATACAGTTGCTGATTTGGCAAAAATTTGCACCAGACAGGAAATATGTTTAAAAATAAACCTAATTTGAGAATTTGTTTTTAAATTAGCATAATTTAAATAAATTTGCCTAAATTATTGTTATTGAACTTAGTCATTATCAAAGTTTTTTAGGTTTCACTTCTTATTATAAATATTCATATAAGACTATTTTAGAGAAGCTTTAATTTGAATAAGAATCAAATGTTACCTATTTGATAGAGCTTGAGTGTCTCTTAGGATTCTCAGAAAGAACCATTATTTAGATTTTATTAAAGATTTTTCATATATTTTCGTTCTCCATTAAATAGATTTTGTAGCATTTTCTTCTCTTCTTCTCTTTTTCCATTTTTCTTTCTGGTCTAATTATCTCACAATCATATATTAATTTAATAATTTTTTCAGTGTTTTTTAATAGTATTATGTTTTAAAATGTCATCTTTCACTTCATTTTAATAACTTCAAATTTCAAAATTTTTATAGTAAAATGCAGTATATCTAGCCCTAATTCATCTAACTTAAGGATAGATTCATCAATTTCTCATTAGTTTGTTACAGCTTTTGTGGATTCATTTAAAAGACTTTTGAACCATTCTTATGAAATTCCGTCAACATAGTTCGGATTTTTATTTTAAGATTTACACTTGTAAATTTGCATAGAAAAAATCCAATTCTAGTGTTTGGACTTCTACTGTTATAGCTTTAGCACCACTTTATCTTCCAAGCTTCCAATGCAACCGCAAGAAAAACACACAACGAGGCATTTTATGAGCAGTTAAAATTTGTTGCTTCCACCAGCCATGCTCCGGACGTGAAAAGGAAGAAAACTGAGGCAAACTTAATCCTAACCAATCATGTTTTTTCTTCTATTCATCAGAGTGGTTCGAAAGCACCTACCTTCTTTAATTTTTAGGAAAACTGTATTAGTTATTAGGCTTTTCAATTCAACTTGATGATAGTGTAAAATTTATAGGGAAAACAATAATGTCACGCGCATGAACCTATTTTATTCATCATCAATAGGCATATAACGACCAAAATTACAAATGGATGAATTTATTATTTAGACTTGTTACAAGGAAAAATAGCATACATACTATATAATAACTGCCAAATCTTGGGTTATATTGTACAGAACTGTACACACAGCATCATAAGAATAATTTGACAGCTTTGATTACTTTTTAACAAAAAAATAATCAATAGGTGTATACTTGCCTTCTTTCTGCGACAATTTCTGCTTCTTGGATTTGCTTTGTCTAGTGATTCGATCCTTCTGATCCCGACTGAAGAAAATATATTAATCTTGAGTAAAAACGCACTGTCTAGAATTCATATCTAGTTTACTACTACTAATTTGTCGCAATTTGTAAAAAAACAAAACAAAATCTATAAAATAAAAGTCTTACTATTGACTCGGAAACGAAGTTTGGTGAATCCTAGATTCTTCTCTTTGAATCTTTTCAGCAAGATGAAAATCAGAGTGCTCTAATCTTTCCTCAATGAAACTTGGAGGCAGTTCAACTCCACAAACTGAACACTTGTAGTCATTCAACCACAACATTGTCTTTTCCTGACAAGAAGAATTAAGTTCCTCATCCTCCAGGAGATTAGACCCATTCTGCACATTTATACCTTCAAACTGCCCCTGGAAAGAAGTTGATCCCAGCACTTCTGTAGATCCACTGTAATTAGAAATAGTGGCATCATTGCCAGATGTTTGCACCTGATAAATACAGAAGTATAAATAGCAGTAACAGAATAAACAAAGGCACACTCCTCAATCAGCCAAATATAATCAATTAGTTCCTGAATTGATGTATATGTCCACTACTTGGCAAAATAAAAGGCAGATAGAGAGGGATACCTCCTCTGCACCATCATTTTTCCAGATGGTGCAGCTATGGTAATCAACATCTGATGAATCAAGATCAGTTTCCGTATCACTGACAAAGTCATGATCTGTAGCAACTGGGAAAGAACTACAATTTCTATTGGGATCTCCTGAAGTAATGAAGTTGGTAATTGTCTTCTGTGTAGGATCAGATGGGGCACTACCCTTGTCAACATTAAACTGTGATACTCTAAGGCCTAAGAGGAGAAGAAAAATCTTTGTCATGCTCTCTGACACAGATAAGGCACAAATGTGAACTTTCTTATAGTCTATGTTAAACACCTTATTTTGGCCGAGCACCATCCTGATAATTGCAACAATAATAAACTTAACAGAAATACATACCTATCAATCTTACTGAAATAGGAAGTTCAGCCTTTAGCAACTTTGAAGCATGCTTCAAAATATCCTCACTCGAGCTTATGTACCTTTGTAAAGTCACAGCTCTAGTCCGAACCTGTCGATTGTGCATATTTGTTAGCATTGGCAAGAGAAATATCAACAAAGATGGGACTTGAACTAAAATGAAGAAATATCAACAAATCATAATATCCTTGAAGTCTTGTACATTGTTCTTCAACAAGTGACTTATAAGGTTTATCCACAGGAGACAAAACAAACTAGAGAATTATTCTTGATTGATATTAAGAAAATATTAAGACAAAAGTGTCATCAATAATACCTTGAAAGAAGCAGTTTTCAGTTTAAGAGTCAATGTTCGGCCACACAGACCCTCTTTCTGCATGTCTGTTGATAGCATTTCAGCAAGCTCCACTGCAAAATAAGAATAAAATGAGAAAAAAATACAGGGCTCCTATGCTGATGAGCCAATATACCTAAAGTCTTATCTATAGCAGAAACTCAGCATCTCATAGTCGTTAGCTAAACTTTTGGAAAGCCAAGAATGTGCAACCAACTTCTCTACAAGTAATTGAGTTTCAATTGAGAGGTTCTAAAAAACTCCAAGTAACTCACTAGGGCTTAGTTTGGATAAACTTCTCTATAAGTAATTGCAGAAGAAAATAAAAAAGTAAAATGAATCAAACTTCTCCTAACAATTAAAAATTAACTTGTGCTCTACACATTTTTTAGAAGCCTTCTCATTCATCTTTTCCAAAAGAATGAGGTGATTAACTTGATTTTAACTTTTGAGAAAATTTTGATTCATTTTATCTTTATTTTTTCTTCTATTATAAGTACTTGTTGAGAAGTTTATCCAAACTGAGACTAAAACTTATAATCACATAGAAAATATGTAATATAAGAAAATCCTTAAAAGATAAAAACAGTAGAAAAGGCAGATACCCAATTTTTTATGCAACAACACTTCATCTGCAGTGGCAGGAAATGTTCTTTCATTGCTTATACTTTTCCGAAATCTTACTTGGGGAGAATCTGTCTTCCCAAGACCTAAACCTACAGAGCAAAAAAATTCTGCAACAAATTGACAAAAAGTCACCCTTTAATAAAAGAATCACATCATTAATTTGGAATGAAATATGATTATAAATTATGGTCAGAAAATTTCCAATAGAAAATAAAGTTACAAGCTTGCCAAATGCTATAGAAAGCAGAAATTAGAATTTTCAAAATAGACATTAGAACAGTAAAACAAAACAAAACACCTGTATGAACTTCGGTCAAATTGCCATGTATATGCAGGAAATCTATGGGATAGTAAATATGTCTTGCATATTAGTTTTGCATGTTAATCAAGAAAGCAGAACACCAGAACAGATGGCTAACCAGCTGTTGATTGAGAGAAAAGAGCAAAAAGGTAGATACTCTTCTCCAGCATCTGTTCACATGTGTTAATTCCTAAAACTCCCTTCAAAATATCTTCAGTGACCTTACCAATGCCCCCAATCTGTCAACACCATTCATCATTGTTAAACACAAAGGCACCTCTTTCAAAGACAAATGCATATATAATAGTCCTGCCCACAACTAGGCAAAAATTGATAAATCAGTATACACTATACAGTAAACTCAAATGTACCTTTCTTATAGGAAGGGAGGATATGAAGGTCATGACAGCCATGCGGTTATTTGGCAAAACATACTGTCCATTTGGCTTGTTTATGTCTGAGCAAACCTATATGCGAGCAAAATGTGAATATTATAAAGTCATAGCATGAAATTTCCCTAGAAGATCAAACAATCACTTCATCTCTACTATTTAATAGTTTCTACTAAACAATAAAAGCCACAAAGAAGTATTATTGATGCCTGAGTCTCTACTTCATGATATTAATAGTAGAAGACATGGGACATGCGAAAAAAAGGAAACAAAGAAAGCAGATGAATAAACTTGGAGCAAATAGTATCCAGAACCTTAGCAAGTAAGCGATTTGGAGCCACTCCAGCACTACATGTGAGACCAGTCTCTCCATAAACACTAACTCTGAGTTCTTGGGCAATCTACATATTCCAAATTCACAAAAACAAGAGATTTAATACATTAAAGTTCTGTGATTGCTAATGCTAACTTAATCCAAAGCATGCATCAACTTACTTCTTCACTGTTGACATTCCTTTCTTTGCAAACTTCAGTTATATCAAGGTATGCTTCATCCAGGCTACCAGCCATGAAATTGGGATCATACCTCCGAAAAACTAACAATAATAAGTTCATATTTAGCTACAATCAGTAATAAAAGGAAATGCTGCAATCCAAAGTTTTGATCGCACAATGAAGAATACCATTTCTGGTCAAATCACTGTAATAATTATACTTATTGAAATCTATTGGGACAAATATTAATTCTGGACACAGCTTGCGTGCAATGAACCCAGGCATGCCAGAACGAACCCCAAATTTCCGGGCCTATATAAAAACCAAATAAAGATCAGGAATTACATGACTCTGTAGAGTTTGTGCGGATTAATTTTTCAAACATTCATCAGATCAATTCAGACCCGAGAATAATAGAAAACAACATCAATCTAATAATATATTGACATAGTAAACCTCATAATTGGCAGTGGATATCATAGACATGCTACCAACAGCCATTGGCTTGCCTTTTAATGTAGGATTACTTAAAGTCTCAACTGCTGCATAGAAAGCATCCATATCTACATGTAACCAAATTCTTGAAAGGTCACGTGAAGCTTCTAGTTCAAGAATTCTTCTATCAGACACCTGTTGTTGGAAAAACTAACACGTTAAACAAATGCATACGATTTAAAAAACATTAGAGGAAGAAGATACTCAATAGTAACTGGTACAAGTTATGCAGCCTATATTTATGACTCAAAGATCCATACAGTTGAGGGCCTTGGCAGGTAAAAAAGATGGAGAATGAAAATCATTGAAATTCAGCTATGAGCCACCTTACTAGCATTGCACATTAGTAATTGATAAACAATAACATCGAGCACAGTGAGCAACAGTGTTTGATTATTGTATTACCTTCTGATAATGGGACAAGTCTTCTTGTGTAAGCTTTGCACACTGAATTCGAAAGTTATCAATTTTCTGCTTAATAAAAGCGTCCTTCCGTTCCTCGTTTTGAAAAAAATTGGATCCTTTGCTCATTTCATACACTACCCTTTGTACTTTCTCCTTGTCAACCCCTTCCATTCCTTAACGATAACAATAACATCAACAACATCATTATTCAAAAATTAATTTCCAGAAACAGAATAGAATAATTATTTATCATTCTCAATAACACCCAAAAAAGAGAAGAAAAGAAAAGAAAAGAGATCGCATTATATTTATAACAGGAACCTGCTTTGGAGCTTGTGTAAACAGTGTGGTAGGACTGCCATGGACGACAACCCTCACCGTCACCATCACCATTCGTTTTGGTTTCTGTTCCCTCCATCGCCCTCTGCTTGACTCTGCAGTGCTCTGCTGCGAAACACAATTTCAGGCCATTTTTTCTTGGGCTTTGCTTCTAGACAAGCCTTTCCTTAGAAATGTAAATATAACTTCTAAAAAGGCCGACGAATATAAACAACCTTCTAAACAGACCCCTTCAAAATGTAAATATAACTCACTATCAGATGTAACTACTTGTTTGGCTATGATATTAAGGGTCCAGTCATTGTCCTAATCATTTATTTTTTATATATTAGATGTAAGTTCTTGTTTTTAAATTAAATATTTTAAAAATCAGTTTGAACGATAATACTTTTAAGAGTTATTTTTTCATTGCATGATACAATTCTTCTTATATTAAGTATTTAAAATTTTTTAATCTAATTTAAATTTTAAATTTAAATTCATATATTTTTTAAACATTAAAAATTATTTCTTTAATTTAATTCTATATAATATTATAAATTTTTTATTATTAATATTTAAATATTTACTTTCTTGTTTTTCACATGCTTCCATCGAGGCAGTGAAAATAGGGAGAGAAAAGTTAGAGGGAGCTAGTGTGGCCATGTCAAAAGAGGCAACATTGTTGAGCCGGTTCATAATATCATTTGGAAGTAAAAAAAACTAAACTACCTTAACAATAGATAACATTGTTTATAAAAGCAAAATACCGCTAGATAAACTACTACATAGAGATTCTACAATGCAACCTCTGAAGATATTGTTTAGAGACAAGGTGCCACGACCAAAGATGGATTTATTAGAACAAAAGCTTGTCCATGTGGAACTAGAAGAGGATAATAGACTAAAGCTGGAGGTCTATGTTGATGATGAAGTGTTTTGTGAACTATGTCAACCATGGGAAGATGCTTTAGTAATTAAATTGTTAGGAAAAACTATGGGATTTGATGTAATGAAAGATCGTTTGAAGCGATTGTGGAAGCTTATTGGGGACTTTGACATTATGGGTGTGGCCAATAAATTATATGGTCAAATTCGACCATTAAGCTGATAGAGAGATGATGATCAATGGAGCAGTCTTGGATGATCTTTGATCACTACCTCGTTGTTACAAATTAGGCCTTGAAGTTCATTTTCCTATTCGCTAAAGTCACTTGTACATTGGCATGGATTCGTTTTCTGAGTCTAAATTTGATTTTTTAATGATGAAAGCTTTTCCTGACTTCTCTTGTGGGCTCACCTATACATGTTGACAAGAATGTGTTGAATGTGAAATGGGAAAGGTTTGCTAGGGTTTGTGAAGACTTTAATTTAACCCAAACCAATGGTGGGTAAGATTTGGTTAAAGGTCACTAGTACAAGGTAAAATCTGAGGGGCTCCATGTGATTTGTTCTTAGTGGTATTATGGCCACCATGCGAGAGATAACACTGTCTCCATTATCCCACCAGAGGTAGCAAATGAAATTGTGGATAGAACGATTGCAAATAATGAGGATAATAATGATAATGAGCAATGTTCAAGGTTCAATGGTTCAACTGGAGTCAAACAGGTGATATTTCAATAACATTTTTTATTTAAATAAATAATAATTAACAAAAAAAAATATTTATGACTATATAACATTAAAATTACACATCATTATAAGTTTCAAACATTCAAAATTACCCATAAAGTTAACACAATATCTTGGTTTAACACTACAAGAAATGTGCCACTTAGCGTTGGTTTATTAACGACGGCTATCAATTTTCTATAACCACTACAAAAATGCGAGATTTAGCATTAGTTTTGTGTAATCGCCACTAAAAATAAAGAATTTAGCGTTAGTTTTTTGTAACTGCCACAAAAATGCAAAAAAAATAGAATATAAGGACCACCTCTCCGCCCCCACCCATTCTTCATCACTCACTCAAAGCTCCCATTCACTCCCACCTCCTCATTGAGCTCCACCGTTGCGCAAGTCTCTGCCACTACTGTCGTTGCCACTGCCGCTACCACTGTCAAAGTGTCTTCTTCCACCGTGACAACCAATTACTTGTAATCCTCTACTATCCTTTTCACTTCTTCTAAATGGCTCTCCTTCAGCGACTCACACCATAAATTATCTATTATATGTATATATATATATATATATATATATATATATATATATATATATATATATGTTGTTATTTTAAAAAATAAATGGAATGGAAACCCAAATAAAGAAAGAAATAAGCAAAAGATGGAAAAGAATGGAAGAAATGTGTGGAAGCCAAAATTTAAACAAGGCGGTGTTCCTCGCCACCCAGTCTGGTATTTGAATTTTAAAATTTAACGACGGTTTAAAATTGCCACTAAATAACTTTCACAAATTTCAAAATTTAGGGGCGGTTCAAAACCGCCACAAATTTAATTTTGTGTTGCAAAGTTTAATGTCAATTTTATAACCGCCAGAAAAAAATTTAGAGGCAGGTAAAATCGCCGTTAACTGATAAATTTAACCGTCATGAATGAGTAATTTTTTTTTAATGTAACATTAAATAACAATATCCACTAATGATAAAAAAAGTCTAGAATAAAATAACAATCAAACATTATACTCAGTCATCATAATATTCATTAAGGTTGAATTCATCAAATTCCAATATGTTAGATCCACCACTGCCACTTCTACTTCCAAATTAAAAATCACTTGCATTTAACATTGGTTGTTCCAAAACTTTAATATCTTCGTCAACTAATTAAATAGCAAGCAAGAAAGGAAAAGAAACTCAATTCTAATATAAACGAATGGTACTGTACAATATGAAGCATATTTAAATACAATTATAACCTTTATTATTTTTTTATGATTCACCCAATATTGGAATTGCATTATCCTCATAAATAACATTCTCAATATCAACATCATAGTCAATAGGATCATATGATCTCTTCTTGTATTCTCAAGTAAAATAAAACATTAAAATATCAAACAAGAAAATAAGAAATTATTTATGCTATAAAAAACTAGTAATATTATTTTAATATAGAGAAATATATAAACCTATTTTTTAATCATAAGTTATATGCAACATTGACAAGATCATTTAGCATTTGATATTCTAATTTATTTCTTTTCTTTGTATGGATACACTTAAAGAAACTCCAATGTCTTTCACACCTTGAAGAAGATGTTTGGCTAAGAAGACGAATTGTTAAGTTTTGCAAAGTTGGAGCACTGCCACCATACAATTGATCTTTAAGAAATGTATTCAATTTAATTATATCTCTATAAAATTATATATATATATATATATATATATATATATATTCAAGTTCAAAGTAGTGCTTACTAAGCCGTATTGTCTTTGTCACTTTAAAAGTAGTTTCCAACTAAATGTTCCTTGCCTATCATGATATACTTGCATTTTTTGAATGGATTTAGACAAATTAGGACAAAAGGCTCTTACATCAAATAAATCAAGTAGTGCTTGAACAACTAGATTCTTCTCACAAAACTTCTCACCAAAAGCAAGGTTTGAAAAGTAAGCAACTGTATAAAGGTCATGCTCCAAGTGCTTATCCCATCAAGCCTTAATAATATTAGTGAAAACTTATTGATGAATCCATATTTTTATTGATATTTTAGCATAATTCTAACACAATTAATAAAAAAAATATATGAAGAAAGTAAAAAAACTTAGAAAAAGAGAAGGAATTGAAGTTTGTTTACATATGTAGTTATTTTAGCAATTGTAGAAATTTTGCTTAGAAATTAAGTTTTTAATCTTGTTTTTGAAGGAATAAATTGAGCAAGGATCATGGAAATGGAGGCTTGATGACAAGGAAGAAGAAAGAAGCAAGTTTGGACTCCAAAAACACAAGACCAAGAAAGTGCAGACTGGGCGTGATCACTATTTTCAGTAAAAGTGATCACTCCAGAGTTCAAAGAAGAAAGCCTGGGCGTTATCACTTCTGCTAGGAAAAGTGAGAGATCCTGTGAAGTCTCAGACTCAACATGCTGGGCGTTATCACTTTTATCAGTAAAAGTGAGCGTTCCAGAGAGGCAAATATCAGGAAAAGCTCTGCGTAACCACTATTATCAGCGAAAGTGAACGTTCCAGAGAGCCTTCAACCTAGCGAGTTGCGCGTAATCACTTTTATTCATAAGAGTGATCACGCGCAACCACTTGAGCTCTGCGTAGTCACTTTTATCAGCAAGAGTGATAGTTCCAGAGAGCCCTTAATATTAGGAAAGTTGCGCGTGGTCACTTTTCTCATAAAAGTGTTAACGCGCAACCATAAACCTTCTGCGTGGCTACTATTTCTCATAAAAGTGATAACGCGCAAATCTGGAAAATTCTATAAATAACAGAAACATACAGATTTTTTGAGAGTTTAGTTTTATTTTTCTGTTTTTCTGTTAGATCTCGTTGAGAGAGCTTGAGAGAGAAGATTGGAGTCAAGTCTTGAAGCTTCCACAAAGAGGAATCGGATTGGAGCTTCCGGCCATGGCTTCTTGGAGATTTTCTTCCTCTTCTCCCATGTCTGAGTAGTTTTCTTATAGTTAGGGGTTTATGAAACTCGAATTGATGTATTGATTTGATTCTTGCTTCTGAATTTTGAGTTCTTGGATTAATTGAATTGTGAATTCTGATTTTCTTGCAATCTATGAATGGAAATTCGTATGGTTCATCAAAGAGGAACATTTACCAATGGAAGTTGGATTTGAATCTCTGATATGAGTTTGCAATCAGAATTTACGGATTTCTTAGGGATAAAGGGACCTAATTCTGCAATCTTAAGGTTCTAAGTCTTAATTCAACTTGAAATTGAATTTCACCTAAGGGATTAGAGTGGTTTAGTTGCTTGTTAGGGTCAATGAGTTAAGGGATTAACCTTTGGCTATTGATATGCGAAATTGATTGTCAATTAATCAAGTTCTTGAATTTTCAGAAGCATAATTGAATTAATATTGACATTCTTGTGAAGTAAATTCCTAACTACCTTTCAATCCATTTCTAATCTCACATTGCATTCATTGATCTGTTTTCTGCATGTTTTTCTTTACTATTAATTGTTTTGGTTTATTGCTTTTGTATGTTACAACACTCCTTTCAAATTTGTATGGCTCAAATGATTATAATTCTGTGAAGTGATACTTGAAACCTAACTTCCCTATGGAAACAATATTTGGATCTTAAATTTACTCATT